TTTCAATAGGTGTTTAGATCCATTTAAATTGTTTGCCTACAGAAGAAAGGCCTGGTCATAAGGTTGCGTAAAGATTACAGTCAAGAAAACCCTAAGGGACAGTTTTATTCTGTGACACAGTCACATGATTTGGAATTGACTTGACAGCAGTGGAGTTTTGTTTTATTTATATCTCCTCTGTTTTTTCCTCTGTATTTCACTTTTCTTGCTTTTATTTTATTTTTGTTTAGTTAATTATTGCAAACGAATTGATATATTTATCTTTCTATTATTTAGATTGTTTGTTGACGTTTTTCTCTGTCATCTCTACTCTGCTGCTTAAGCTATGCACTGATTTTTTTACTGTGGAAATAAATATCTCACACAAAATAATTGCCACTTCAAATGTGTTATTTTACCATCATCCTTAATCTACATACAAATTTTTCCATCACTCTTAACAGATGTACAGTGTCCTTTTAGGCAGGTAGTGAAACTCTTTTTTAAGGTATTTTATTATTTAATTAAGTGACCAGATGCGGGAGATAGTTGTGAAAGAGAAAAAGGTGTCTAAAGTCACTCCTAGGATTTCATTTGGGTAATAGAGTGGTTGTTAATACTTATTCCTGGAGGATGGAAAGAATTCAGAAAATAATGCTGCATTTGGGCATATGAAGGTGAAAATAGTTGGGGAAACATAGGATGCCTTTATAACTCCCTACAATCTGCACTTGGGATAGATTTTAAGGTTATTCAGTAATGATAAAGTTAATAAACAAGCAAAAAACCTTACTGCCATCAAATTGATTCCAATTCATAACAGCTCTATAGGACAGAGTAGAACTGCCCCTTTGGCTTTCTGAGACTGTAGTGGTCACCTAATCTGGTGTCCTAATTTAAGGATTAAGAGTATAGGGGTGGAGTCTAGGCTGTCAATCTACAGATAGCCAATGAGACTTCTGTGTGGGCATGGCCTTCTCCTGAGATTTCTGGGAAATCTGGGACTTCCTCCTTGGAGCCTGAAGACACTTCTCTCTCTCTGCGACTCCCTGGGAGACACTGCAGAAGACAAGCCACATGGGCGCAAGACCTCG